CCGCAGGGAGCCGCAGGGCGCCGTCCTCGGAAGAGTCGCCTGCACACACTCGGCTGACAGCGACGGTCGAACCACGGTTACAAAATGACCCCCCCCGGGCCGTCACGCGCTGCGTGTTAATGCTTTTAAAACAGTGTGAGAGTGGTTATTATTACAGATCATTTCTCCCTTTCACAGCTCTAAAAGGACACTTTACTCCACGACGGCCATCTGCACTCACTGAGCTCATCAGTGGAAGCCTCAGAATTTCTCAAAAAGCGGGAAATGATTTTCTTCACAATGCCAGTTCTTGCTTTTTGGTCTGCTTTGAAATGCCAGCTTTTATAACCAAATCATGGTGCAATTATAGAGTTATTAAAATCATGCAAAGGGACAGGCAGATGTGTGCTTTTTAAAAATAGAACACCCAAAGTTGTTTGTTTTTGCAATGAGCGTCTCTTATCCGTAGTAACGTTTTGGCACGTTGTGGTTGTATGTATTTCATCGTTTGGGCCCATCAGAGGCTCCTGGTGTCTCATTAGGGGAACGCACGTATTTGTGGAACAAAGGTCTCACAAAAAAGGGCTGCATGTGCAAGAGAAGAACCTTCAGCGCTTGACCTCAAAAAAAGTCTTTGCCGTATGGCTTGGCGGATGTTTCGAGGTGGGGTTAACCGCCAGCGACGTCACGCTGATTGGATGGGCTTTGGTAACTTTAGTCTTATCAGACACTAGACCAGCTCTACTCACCCTCTTTGGTTTGGGTTTTTGACTCCGATTGTCACGACCGGACAATGGCCCTGAACCCAAACGCACGACTCGTAGGCAAAGTTCAAAAGTTTATTAAGAAACTAAAAATCGCCCGTGGTCGAGGAAAAAACACCGTTCACAAAACCTAAGAAGCCGAGCTTGATAAAGTAGACGATGCACACGTACCCTGGTTACCTGGCACAGGACAAAGGGAGACGCAGACAATATATACACACAGGGAAAGAATCAGGGGCAGGGCAGACAATCAGACCAGCACACGGGAGGAAGGGGCGAGTTGCCTGAAGCGAGAGGGAGGTTAAGTTTCAAAATAAAACAGGAAATCACAGGACATGAGACGAGTTTTACCAACGCCGTTTTCCTGGGCATGACACCGGTTTACCTTCAAACCTTTTAGAAATGTAATCTTCTATTACTTTAGAGATGAGCGGCAGTGGTTTCTATTTCAATATGTCTGACTTTTACCACAACAAAAGCCCATCAACCCTAAAACACAAACAAAATAAGCAAACTCGTGTCATTTAGACACCTTAATTGTTATAATAATGGAATAAAATAGACGTGTAGGCAGACACATTAATACTGGGTCTGATGATGCTTTGCACAACGATGGTTGAGTTTCCATAAGAGCAGACATCTCATGCAGCCACATTCAGGAGAAAGGACTTCTTGTTCTTATCTTGAAAGCCTGCAATGTCCAACAGTAGCAACGATTTTGCCTAATTGGCTTCAGCCCTTGATAAATTGAGGAAATTAACACATTTCGACCCCCTTTGGCTACAAGGAGGAACAAGAATGTGTGTATTTGTACATTTAATGAGGTACCAAGTGGATGGTGCTTCCCGTAAATGGGACTTCTGGAACTAACAAGGGGTCGACAATCATACAGTCGGAGAATGTAAAAAGTCAATGCTAGTGTGTGACGGAGGTCTCGTGTGCTGCTTATGCCTCTTTATTCTCGGCACAGCGGCCGCAAAAGTGCAAAAAAATAACGTATCTGCACCCACTGTTTGACCCCCGTCTGCTTCCCGCCGCTGAGGATTAATGGCGGTGCAAAGCCGCTCTTCCATCAACGGAAATCATTTACTCTCTCAGTGCATTAGCAAGCTGAGCTTCAAAAGCTGTGGATGAAGGGCCGGATGAAGGACACCATCTCCAACACACTTGCGCGCTCCGCTCCACTGTGTATGATTTTTGCTTCATTGTGTACACAAAACTACACAAAAAACGTGCAGTTGTCCTTCGGCTACAGGAGACAGTTCAATGTCTGTTTTATTAATTAGTGACACCAAGTGCTTTTCTTACTATGACAAGTGGATATATCTACTTGGAAAAATGCATCACTGGACTAGTGGAATACAATTTAATGCAACTTTATATTGGAGAGCTGGAAACATTCGCACAGGGACTTTATGAAGAAAGTTTTAATGATTATATAATAATAACAACTGTATTTGTGTCCGAGTCTGTGTGTATTTGTAAGACATTCTAATCAATAACTCACTATTCATGCACTGAAATTAATTTAAATGAAAGCCACTAATTCTACATTGAACTATGTTTCAGTAATAAGTCATTTGTGGCGAGTCCAACATTTGCCTCCACCAGTGGTATCGTGATGAGTCCTGTGCCTTCTACGTTTTTAAAATGCATTTTTCAAAAGATGCCTGATGCAAATATTGAAAACCCTGGTTTAAAGCTATAGTTCTTCATCTGAAATCACTGGTAGGATTTGAGTTTGTCTGGAAGAAAGAAAGGCGTGTGGATATGGAACGAGAGGGACAGCAGAGAGAATCACCAACCCGACAAAAGCCAAGACGCACTTTGGCGTCAAATTACTCACAGTTCCTGTTGATTAGCGACAGCTGACCTTCAGCCGGTGACATTTGTCATTTTAGCCTGAAAAAGGAGCTGCTCCCTGAACGCTTTGAGGGCTGCTCTTTGCAAATTTGGAATAGTGAGCAGAGATAACAGATTTTGTTGTGGAACAAAAGCATTTTCCTCCTCACGAAACACACTGAAGTTCTGCAAAGAAGAGTTTTCATCCGCTTGGCTTCCAGCATTTGCTCGTGCATTGAATCATGCAGCGACACGGGCCGTCAGGATCAACAGTAGCTTCCACACATCACTTCTCAGGTAATGTGATGTTGTGCGTATCCACTCCATCCTCCTGCTTTGTGTTGTTGTTGTTGTATTGTGACCCGTTGAATTCAGTAACGGATCAGACTGAACCCTAACGGCATCCCCTGCTGTGCACATTCAAAGAATTAAGATTGAGTGCTCAATTTTTTTTGTTGACTCTCCAAGTGAGCGTACAATGATTCTACCTCCGATTTTGTTGTGATCCTGTTTACATGCTGAATATTTGTTACCAGAGTAAAAATAAAGCAGAGGACTCTGACACTTTGTCAGCAGACATTTGTTCTCTTTGGTTGAGTGTGCAGCTCCGCTAGAAATGATGACTGATTCATTGTCCTTGAAATTTAAATAATTTGCACAAGCTGATAATGGGAGACAGTCAAATGATGGCTTTCAAAAACCACCTTGTCACTTTGATTAAATCCAAGCCTGTTCGCTCACTGGCAACCTTGACCATCTCTCTCCTCCCCCGCCGGCGCAAACCCCCGGCAGCTCTGAGGTTTAATGGCAGCACTTGCAAGGCCCCGGCGAAAATCCTGGCGGCGGGCCGCTCCGTTTGCTCTCAGCAAGACGTGGAGCCGACCTCGAGGAGGCTCTCAAACTGGCGAAAGAGATGCGTCACGGGCCTTGAAATAGAGCTGCGCAGCTGTCGCCCAACATTGTCCATCATGGACGCTCTTTTTACTCTGTGGCACCAAAATGTCCCACGAAGGGGAAGCTGGGACCACGTGGCCCATAGGAACCGCCGGAAGCCCTCAGAGGCCGATGAGGAGACGGAGAAGTTTGCCACAAACAACTGGAAATGCCGAATCCTTGAGCGTGACGGCGTGCGTCATTTAGGAGACCTTGTGAAGGGGTGACGTTACCAAGTTGAACTTAAATGGTGGTAAACCGTCCACATGGAGACTGATGGTTGTTTGGCTGATAGCAACAAGTCTACAACAATATGTTGTATTGGTGTAACTCTGTACAAGAAATGGACATAGTCACTGTGACACCCCCCTTTTGTTTGTGGAGTTTTGCCTTGTTTCCTTCTGTCTCTGCTTCATCCAGCTTCTTGCATTTCACCTCCTGCTAGACGAGCGTGCAGGGAAGTGGTCCAGCTTCGACACAAGCACAGATGTTTTGATGATCTGAAACCATTTCCACTCACGCGCTCTCGTCTTTGCCTCAGCTCGCGCCCCACAGGGATCATTTGCATCCACTTTGCGTTGTTAGAAGGCAATCAGGCCGGCTGCAGAACCTGCACACCTTTGGAGTTTTATCTGTGGCCGTGATCCCACGACGCTCGAGCATGTCTCAGGTGGTTCGCTGATTTCTCTGTAAAATGGACCGGGCAATGGATGTGTGCTGAACAAATGTCGACCACATTTTAGTGATACTTATTTGTTCACAATTACAGCCCACAAAGTTGATTAACCGTAGAGTTGCAATGATTTGTCAGATATGACCCATGAAAATTGAAAACTAGTTAATTAAACAATTTGATTGTTGTGTCATGATGTGCAAGTTTGTTGTTACCAGCTCCTCAAAAGTGAGAACTTCTTAATCCATTTCCTTACATGATAGTAAATTGAACTTTTGGTAGGAAAATAACTGACATTTACTGGCATAAAATCTGGCATTTTGATATCTTTGGGATTTTTCTTTCTACAATTGATTTAATAAAAAAAAAAAGACAGCAGCAAATTAGATTAAGATTAAGCTCTTCTAACAATAACTTATTGCGACCAAAATACTTACTGATTTTGTATCAGTCTGGTCCCAACCTTCTTTAGTAAAGTACTGTACAAAAGTAGCAATTAGATTTTCAGTAATCAAAATATACTTTCTAAACTACTTTTTCTACATCTTTACAACTCACGCATCGAGATCTGCAGTCATGCATCAGGACTTAAATGTATTTGCATTTTGGACGGCGAAGACAACATAGTTCAAGCTCTTGAGATTCCTTGTTTGTCTCAGACAATTATTCCAATCACAGACGTCTCAGCGCCTCTTCTTTCAGTATTGTTTGACAGCTAATTAACATTCACAAGGCGTACGTCTCGCTGATTGCTCTCTGTGCCGCGCAACCACTTTCCTCTGTTGATCACAAACTCACTCACTCACTCGTTTCTTTCCCACGAATAACCATTTATTCTTCACACATTTACTGAAAATTACAGTTTATTGAAAGGACACCGAAAGGTCAGATAACACAGATACATGTAGCTAGGAGTTACTACTCAGTGCATGGCACATTCTCAGGGAGACGACCCATTGTGAGTCTTTGGCTCTTTGCCTCTTGAGTGTTGAAGGCAGAAAGAGTGCTGAAATATTAAATGTTGAACAGTTGGCCAGCCAACTTGAGCCTCTATATTTCAAAAATGTGGAGGAGTAAATTAACCTTGGCTACAATGAGTGACAAACAATATTCTAAGTTGGGTAGTAGTAGTAATAGTAGTAACTTTTATTTGTCAATAGATATACTTATATCACAGGATACAGTGTCAGACCTCACCAGTGCAAAAGGATTTTTCTAGAAAGATCACACATTTAGAAAGCAGTGTCCTCACTCGGAATAAAACTCAGATATTAAACAACAAATAAACAATCATGAAACAAGTTACCAGTGCCGTTGCTACCTTTTTTAAAAAGAATTTCTAGAATGCATGCCATTTTACTATGGAGGTTTGCAGATGACAGTCAGGAGATTTGTTGACGGATCCAGTGCCTCAGCTTTTGCAAACAGTGCTGATACGCGTGTGCGGCTGTGTGTGTGTGTGTGTGTGTGTGTGTGGGCGCACATGTGTTTTTTTTTTGTGACAGTGCGCAAGCGTGTGCTCTTATAAAGATCCAACGCAGCGGCGCTGCATTCGGGATGGTTTGCCGCCCGCTCAGTTGTATTCGTGTGGCTTTGTCTTTGCCTCCTCGCCGCCGTCTGAGAGCTTCCTGTCCGATTTCCCCGTCTGCGCTTGGCTCTTTTGCTGTTACGGTTCAGATAAAGATAAAGATGCATGATGAGAACGACACAATTGTACCCCGCGGCGGACATCTGAGCAGGAAATGCTCCTAAATGTATCTGTGGGATGCAAAAAAAAAGTTATTTCAAGGTAACCTTGCAGAAGAGAGCAAGTGATTGGTTTGGGCCGGTCCTAAGTGGGAAGGACCAGCCAGCGTTATGGTACTAGGTTCTGCACCCGTGAACTGGGACGCAGCTACAGACTCCTTCTGGTTTTTAGTTATTAAGAGCAGGCGTTCAGGGTGTGTGAAGACCAAAACGACAGCGGTCCACTTTGGGACCCAATGCAAACATTTTAAGTGGGCTGCAATGCATTTCATTAATGGAATGCAGCTTTTACTGGTATTTTGAATAATTCAAGTCAGTTTGGGCAATGACACGTTGAAGCGCAGCTCATAAACATTAGAAACCAATTCCCCGAGCGAAGCATCTGCTCTGTGTTTACCAATGTCAGTTTGCAGAACGCCTTCAGGCTTTCTGGCTGCTCCTATCATCGAGCGTAATTATCGGGCTACACATCACTCTGCATGGCAGCGGGTTATAACTCCGTCACCTGGCTCGGAGCGAAACGGACCAAAAGAAGCCACACACACACCTGTGCACTCATCCGATCGCTCGCAGAGGAGCTTGAAAGTAAACTTTAAATTTGACCACACTGTGTCTTGGCAGCAGTCACACAACACAAAGTAGCACATTTGTAACTTTTTTTTGTGATTCAGTGACTGCGACTGGCTACAAATGGATCTCCTCTGCAGGCCAACGACTTCTCACTTAATCCGCTCCCGTGGCTTCTTGCCAACTTCAGTTGCCTTCCACTTCGATGCGGGTTTGGGATTTGGCTCTTTATTTGTCAGAGCGTTACTGTAGCAGCAAAAAGCTTTTCGCTACGTAAAAAGGCGCGCTGTAATCCGAGCATCTAAGCTAACGTGAGGGTTCCCCCGCCGGCTCCCTCAGAGCGCCGTTCTGCCCCGCGCTTAGACAACGGTAACCCGGGAGCCCGTTAGCTCCGTCGTCGCCGCTGTTGCTGCCGTTAGCCGCTAGCTGTGCGCTCATGCTAAGAGGTGTCACGGCGAGGCCGTATGGTGTGGTGGGGCCCTGGCTCTAGTCTTTTGTCGGGGGCTACGATCGACGGGGTGGCGCGGACGCTACAGGGGGGGGGGGCTAACCAACGTGGCTCGGACCGGAGTCCAATTTCTTGCCGTGAGAAATTGGATGTGTGGCGGGAGTGCGTGACTAGAGACCGAAATGCGTTACTGTCACGCTCAATGCGCGACACTTGAGAGCCCACTTGAGAGCCCTGTTCCCTGATGAGAAGTCACCTCACCTGCTCAGGTAACCAAGCTGCCTTCAATAAACAAATCACCCTGCGGTATATCTACCCCAGTTCTTCATCCACTCGTCGCCAGACCGTTGTCCAACCTAGCTGGTAGTGGCTGCGCTCGGCTGCTCTTTTGAAGGGTGTTTTCAGCGACAGAAGTTTATTCTTAGTCTACCCGCATTTCCGCTGACCCTGTATTTGTGTCCTTTTCAGTTTTCCGTCCTCGCGGTCGGTGTGCCGCTCCCTGCCTGGATTCCCCTGCCATTCCCCACTGTCTCCAGAGCTGTGACCCTGGCAATAAACCAGTTCCCCCTGTACCTCCTAGTCTCTGCATTTGGGTCCGCCACCACATACCGTAACAAGAGCGGTGTGCTGGCAATAGATACGCTTGGATTTTGCACGTTGAATTGCTTTCTAAACGTTTCATTCTATCCAGGCCTGTAGAAATCACCGCAACAATCTGAGTCATAATGAATGTATAAATGTATGAATCAGCTCTAGCGCTGCCATTGGTAGGTCTGCCACTTTTATCAAATTTATCCTAAAGACTGAACAAAAATAGCGCCATGTATGAAGTTGTAAAAAATGGTCAAAAGAATAAAGTAACTATCCCAGAAAAAATATGTTAGAATTCAACTGAAAACCCTAAAATATGTAAATTCAAGAGAGACAGGCCAATTCATTGCTTTTATAATTATTTTTAATAACAAAGAATTGATTAGGAACATCTGCACAGTTGGCACAGTTTTCCTTTTTTTCCTCACATTCACTCTTGACTTTCTATTACCCAGCTCACAAACAAATAACCCTGATTCCACTGTGCATTAAAGATGTGATCTATTGTTTTAAGGATGCCAGGGTTTGCTGAGTCAAACAAAATACCGCGAACATTAGTATGAACTGCCTACAGTAGATTGCCCACTGGGGCCTGGGGGCCCATACAGTAGGGCAACCAAGCCGGAACAAGGGTCCCCCCCCCCCCCCCCCGTGTTGCTGGTGGGCGCGGCGACGCTGGTCTAGCCGGCTCGTCGATGTGCGGCCACATGGATGTGAGCCTCTTGGTCCAATCATTACTCCACAGGATTTAAACCCGTCTTTGTTTCGTGCGAAAACACAAAATGTGCAAGAGCACCAGAATAGTGATGGCTCCTCGGTCAAAGAAATGGAACATGAAGGGACATAATGGAGGTGGAGTAATGATAGGAAAAGGACGCGCTTTAGTGCAGATCGATCCGCAGACAGCAGAATGCAAAGCTTTACTAATCAAATTGTTTACTACTCCATCAATCTCAGTAGCGGGAGACACCGACCGACGCCAGTGAATTGTTGATTCATGGCTGCAACAAGATGGGAAAAATTCCCGATTCACGCGACGAACGAAAACCCTGCGCAGTGTGACACGGCAGTTTGTATTGGCTTCTTGTGATGAACTAGAATCCTTCCAGGTTTTTTGGGACGACATTACGTCACACAGTGAATTGCAGAAAGCCCAACTTTCAAACACGTGTGGTTTAGAGTCCCGTGTTGGTGTTGGTTCGGCCCATGCTGCTCCGTTCCCCCCCACCACGAGGGGCCTCGTCGGTACTCAATGCTTGAGGGGGCGAGCCATCTGCGTGGCTGTGAATAACAGATGAAGTCACTTTAATGACATCTCACATGATATAATGAGCTATTTCAACATTACGTAGAGGGTCATTATCTTGTACTCCTTTTGTTCCGGTGACACAGTCCACTCGCAGGAGAAACGCAATCGTGTCCAGATTCCACCATCGAATGTCTCTCCGGACAAACCAGTGAAGGCAAATCCGCCCATTTGTTAAAATGTTCTCGTGTCTAAAAGCGGACCGCTGGCACTCGGAATGCCAGACAGTCGCTCAGTTACACAGTATTGCGCAGCATGGAAATGAGACGCATTGTTTTTTGTCGTACCATCTGCCACTGCCAAACAGGTGTGACTCAATTCAATAATATGAAGAGGGGGGGAAGCTACGCGTAGGCCTTGGCACGGCGTTGCATGTCACACACCACGGGTGACGTTGGCACACTCAATATTAGGTTTTGGGAGATTGTTTGCCATCTTTCAGGATTGTGTGGTGGCCGTTGTGTATCATCCGCTCTACTGTGTTCCACTTGTGTCGTACTTTATTGCACGCTAGGTTTAATCATTTCAGGGTGTGAGTTGCCAGTCACTGGATCACACTAAGCTGGTTTCATCTGCTTGACTTCTTCTCTTTCCATTTTTAAAGTATCCTTGTCATGTTACCTGCTCCAAAACTCCAAAGGAGTTTGAATTACAAACAAATATTTTGCTTTGTAGCCTATTCGTCTGCGCAATAGACCTCCATCGTGGTCAACACACATTAAAAACCCATCAATCAGCCACAAAGTTGCACTGGCAACATTGTGGCAACACTTTATCCAGCCTGATCTCCAAAACCTGTAAAAATGTATACGAAAATCTTTAAAATACAAATTCGTAGTGATACATACGAAATAAATACGGACTGCAACTGATGACGTCACCCTATTCAAAGTGAACGGGGACCTGCAGCCCGTAAACACTTTGTGAAGTCTAACGATGTAAAATAAACGTGTTATGATTGCATTTTTTAACGGGAAATTAATGTTAACTTGTAAGAATAGAATACTAACCCTAACCCCCTCAAAAAATCCAACATGGCGGAGAGACGTTCACTCAAGAATCCGACATGGTCCGCCATGTTGTCCACTCAAGGGGGCGTGGTTAACCACCGCCAGTTCCTATGTATTGTTACCAATTTGTATGTTCAAGATTTTCGTACACATTTTTACGAACAGGTTTTGGAGATCACGTTGCTTTATCTTGAGCAAATGACTCATCAAATGTAGTCTGAATATACACCCCAACAAAGGCACAACTTAGTCCTGGCAGAGTCACGTTTGTTCAAAACTACGATTACAAGCTGGGAAATGATTCAGACTTTTATAAGAATATAGTCTAAGGGCCAGAGAAAGGAAGGGAAATCGTAACGTATTTTCCCCACTGTTCAATTTAGCTTTTTTTGTTGGATTTCTTGACGACAAGAGAACCGTAGAAGAACATCGTGCTCCTAATGGTTTCCTGTGCTCAAGACCAACGTCCGTCTGGCTCACCTGCTGCGGATCCGGTAGCGTTTTACTGTCGGGGGCCGATTCCTCCGTCTGATTCCGGGAGCAGGCGCCGCCGGGCTGAGGAGGCGGGAGGGGGAACATGTGAGTGCGGCGTAGAAAGAACACGCTACGACATCCCGACTGTGTGTTCAAAAACAAATCTAAAAGTCAAAGGTTGCAAAAGCCTCTTCTGTCTGAAGATGACCTGGGTAGTTATTCTAAAACCTGCTCTGGTGTTTTGATATCAGACAAAGTGTCGATATTTGTCGTCCCTCGAATGAGAATGAGAACCAGAGTGCTGGATCGTCTTTTGGGTTTGTGGAAAAAATCAAAACAAGCAATTTGAAGACGTCAGAACTTCCGATCGGCATGTCTTCTGTATTTTCTGACATTTTACAGACTAAAACAATCAATCCTGAAATAATCAATACAGAAAAGTATCATTAGCAGGAGCCCAACCAGGCTTTTTTGTGTTTGTTTTTTTAACAGCATTACCCATGAGGCTAAAAGCCGTGTCAATCATCTCCCTGCGCTGCACTTGGAGGCAGTTTGCTCCCGTGGGAAGACTTTTGCTTTCATGTATGATTGCTGCAAATTGTTCTGACCAAAACAAAAAGCTTTCCAGAGGATGGACACTGAGCTCGGGTGAGTCCGCTGCACACACAACAATTTCAGAGCGCCAAAGCCGGTGAAGGTGAGGAACGAATGTTACATACAACGATGAGACAACCGCTGGTCTAATGCATTTCTCAAATATATATATACATTTCAACGACTTAAGTGTGACATCTGTCAATGAAAATCATTTGTTGGAGTGCAGCGAACCACCCATTTTCAAACCGAAGGATATACCTGCTAATACAAACTGTCACTCCCCATTTCCTCCCGGGTGGTGGGGGGGGTTCTTTCTTCACAAGTCACTTTTTCAAATATGTCTGTTCTTATCTGTATCAGAATTCCTGGAGGCTTCCTACACCGCTGCCAAAACGATGCAATCAACAGTACTGGGGAACATTGTTTTTGGCGCGATGCCGTGATGGAACAATGAATTTGACGCGGGTGCCAGAGAGGGTGATTTCCTTCCCCGGGTGGATTCCCTCCGTAGTGCCTTGGCCTTCTGTGGTCACCAGTGGTGTTCGTCTCCTGATAGCTGAATGCTAACGGCCTCTGTCTGAGAAATCCGAGTCCTCATAGACCACAAAGGAGAAGTAGGAACTGATTGAATGAAATAATACGTGTCAAAGATGGATCGTAGAAACCAATGACTGTATCGCCGGGCTGGGACTCGTTGCAGGTCTCACCGGAGGACAGTCTTGATCTCTGATGAGGGACTCCAGCATGAATTGGGTGAACATTCGGTGGAGAAAGGCCCTCAGGTCACTTAGGCCATTATCGCTTATTACTCTAAAGGCTCACCTTTTCCATTTGGCAGGCTTTAACTGCGCCGTCCTCTCCCCTCGTTACGCCGATGTTCACGGGTGATTTACTCGCTGTGACAATTCTCTGAACTTTGGAGATATCCTGTCGGGGGGAAAAAAAGAACATTTCATGTAGGAAATGGCTTGTTGATGATTCAGCAGTGGCTTCGGGGTTGCTGCAGAGTAAACAATTCCGACGCAAAAGTCCATAAATGTTTACATCATACTTTCACGAGTAATTTAGCTTGAAACGGACAAAGTGGCGGAAAGCAGACGAGCAGCTAGAGAAGGAAAGGTTCTGGAGCATGGAGGGCGATCTTCATCTGTATTCATAAAAACTCGTTAAACCAGGACTTTTTCCTGTTTCAAAATTGACAATCGACACAACAGTTTGTGTTTTTCTTTGCCTGCAGGTTTCCTGACACTTTAGTTGTTGTCAGTAACCGAGTGTGTTGGAGAATGTCCTCTGCTCGAGGCCCTGACTACAGCGAGTATCTTCTGACCTTCTTGCACAGGGAACATTGACTTCATCGGCGTGCAGCTCACAGCACAGGCCAATAGTTGGATTGGAACCGCTCTGCTGATCTATTGGCTCAAAGATGCATTGAGACTTATTGTGAAATATGTCGACATTAAAAGCAGTGCAGGACATATAAATCTTTTACTTTCTTTTGCCCGTTTTAACAGTATCCTCATTGATATTCTGCTTCAGATAACGTGTTTTTTGAGACTCTCGACCACAAATTGCCCGGCTGCCAGAGTCAAAGATGAACTGAGTTTGTCTGTCTCCTGCACCGGGCTGGTACATAGTCCTCTCCTTAACTGGGTCAGAACTGGCCTCCTGAGAGCATGGAACACGACGGTGGCGAGATGAACACAGGCAGTTCCAACTTGTCACTGTCAAACTACATTCTCACTGTGTCAGCTCAAACTACATGTTTTTGGGGCAGGTTCAGTGGAGTTGGCTTCACCCGCGGAAGATCTGTGCAATATTTCCTCTCTTTTGACGGCCTTCGACTGCGTATTGGATGGATGGACACTTTATGGATCCCAAACTGGAAAACACATTGTTTTCAAGCAGGATATCCACGTTCCCACCTCTGAAGGATGGTGCCACTGTTATCCCGCCACCCAAATCCTCCTGATAAACATCCTCAAGCCAGCTTTTGTTTGTTTTTTTGCAGTTTTTCAAGTAGTAAATATCCCGTCCATTTATATGGACGAGAAAACGGCCGTTAAAGTAAAGAGTGCTGAGAGCAGGGCAAAGAAATGCCTGATTCCTCTTCCGGCACATCGAGCATCTGAGACATCATCTCCCATTACTTTGATGAAAATTGCTTGCTATCGGACCACAAGACTTGGCTCCTTCCCTGAGCCCGTTAAATATGAAGCAACTTCCACTCCAATCTCACTGATCTCTGCATCCTCGCGCTAATGAATCTTTCACCAGCAAGGAGAGCTTTGTGTGTCTGTGTGTGTGTGTGTGTGAGGGGTGAGGCCTGGGAGAGTCTTATCAGTGGCTTCTACCAGAGCTTAAGGCCCATTATGTTAACTCAAACTACGAGCGTGAAGCTCAAAGTGGCGTCAGCCAGTGCTCGAGCGAACATCCCTCTCACCCACTTTGCGTTTCAAAAACACAAAGCGGCTTTTATGAAGTGCGCTCGTGTTTCATCGTGCCGTTATTGGATAAACGCTCTGGAGCATTGTCACCGTTTCTCCGGCGGTGGTGGTAGCTAACGTACCCCTGCTGTTTAAGAGCGCCAACAATAATTGGCGTGTAGCTAGCCGCGACTTTTCAGAAATAACCCGTCCACAACGCTGCTGGGTGCTTCAGTGCTGTCAACGTAAAGGTGTTAATCTGCGCGTACCAGAAGTAGACCGGAGGTTGACCGCGGGAGACAAACGGCCGCTAGCTGCAGTCAGTTACATCGCGATGGAGAAAGCTTTTAGCATTGGAAGTTAAACCAACCGAGACGCGACTTACGGCGGAGAACTGTGAGGAGGAATTACTCCACGTGTCCAACAGAAGGCCGGTGACCACTTCGAAGCACCGCTATGCTAATGCTAGCTGCTAGGCTACTTCCACCTCGACGCCTAGCGTTACCCTGCGCGGCACACAGGCTGCACAGGACTGTGTGGTTCGAAAACGTGCCGCTAAATGTGATCGTTGCCACTTCAAACACCGATTTTTCTCCATACTAATCTGAGATACATGAATGAGAGCTGAGCCACGTCCGCCACGGACCGATGGAAGAACCCCGGTGGTCTTTACCGTGAAGGAGCAGCGGCGAGAGGAGACGCTGCTATCTGTACGCTAATAAAAAGGGACAATGCACACTGTGAGCGTCCTCTGCTTGTCTTCCATTGGGCTCACAGTAATGGAGGCAAGACACACTCTCACTTATGATGGGATGGTCATGTTTTGGCCGCAAACGCCAATGAGAGTTTAATTGCGTGCGGGGAAAGTGTCACCTGGAGATTATTGTGTCGTGCGACGGAGGGACGCCGCTGACGGCGTACGAGTGCTGACGCATGAGGAGCAATAAATAAAACAAAAATAAATCCACAGAGGCGCGTCAAAAGAGACGCAGAGTACACTGTGGCGGCCCGGAGGGGAGAGAAGCCTCTTAAAGGCGGAATCGCTCACAGGATTCATGGCAGATAAGGTCGACTTGATGGTTTCGAAGAGACTTGCTCTTCAGAAATCAGGACCAACCCAATCTCGGAAAAAAAAACGTGACGCGTTTATTCTCCTACGTTTTCAATTCCAGCTCTTTTCCAGTCACAGAAATACTGAGTAAAGCACTTTGGGCTCGAGTCCTAAAACGAAAACAAGAAGGAATATCTACGCTGACACTATTTTATTTCTTTATACTCATAAAAGCGATTAGTTACGGAGCGATTGGTTGTGTCTCCTGTGACCTTGACTACAAGCAAAGCCTCAGAGTGAGTTAATCATTTCACACAGAACAGATTTTGTATCAAATCAAAACTCCGATAATGCCCTCAGTGATTTTAACCTCTAAAAGCAGCACCAAGGAACACAAAAAAACCAAGAGAAATGGCCGCTGCGTGATTCAGATGTGTTATTATTAGAATCGTGTTTGCGCAAATGTTATATTGGTATTTACTTCTCGGGCTGTATTTCTTTCTGCAGAGGGAAGCTCAGGGCATCGGATTGACGAATAGACACTTCAAAATGAGGTAATAATCGACTAACACTTAAATTCTCACCGCACGCAGAGCACCACGTGCGCTCCGGTGTGCGGTGAGGTGGATATTTTGCCAGCGAGATGTCACCGAGCTGTGAGTTACAGCATGGGAGGAATTTTAACTTGAAGGTGTTTAGAGGAGCCGCAAACCGCTGAAGTCGGCTTTATTTTATCTGGAATGTCAGAGGGGAAATTAAGCTGCAAATCCCCAAATCCACCATCTCATTGTTTACCTTATAAAACAAACGTATTCCTTATAAAACAAACTTATTCAACTGCTGTAGAAGAACTCAGGTGCAATTAATAATTTTAATGAGGTCCGGACAACTTTTCAGCTCCATCGTATTAATATTTTTTCTTCTGGACTCCTGATACAAACTAAATGGGACAGAAGCGTCATTAACGGCAATAATAATGACACCTCTGCGTTACCGGCTGCGGCAAATGGAAATGTCTCCTGTGAAAAGGCCAATTGATCATCTTTCAGGTAACATCAAGAGGACGTGGAAATGTATATTGCCTTCAGGCGTTAATGTTCATTCAAGGCCTCCGTGAATGAAGCCGCGTTGGAAATAATTCGCCGTTCCAGCTGTGAAATCAACAATGATTAGCGCAGTGACACGTATCCAAACGTGATTAGATGGGGAGTGGGATTGCCGCATCGATTTAATTATTATTCTTTGAAAAATATGGGAGGTCACAAGAAATAGAAACAACACGAGTAGTTTTTGAACAGTTGCTGAATGAAACTCGCTTTCAAAGTCAAGAAAAGACGAGCAGACATCGTTATGGTTACTTGTTATTATCATAACTATTGTTGGGATTTATTCCTTCATGATTATCGACCTTTTAAAAATATAAATGCTTATCTCTGTGACATCGTTGGTGAGACGGTAGATTCAAGGACAGACCGGATCAATGCGTGATTAAGTATTAGAAGGGGCTCCATTTTGCTGATAACGCAGGCGGCCTTTTGGATAAACCGAATATAAAGTCGGCGGAACGTTACCTTGGCGTGTGGCTGCTGGAAGGTGACTCTGGAGCTGTTGATGAGCGATGCGTATCGGAACAAGTGGGCGGGGGAGGCGGGGAATCGGTGGCCGCTGCCGGGCTGGTTGTTCAGGACGGCCGAGAAGCAGATGTGAACCGTGTCCTTCAGCGCCTTCAGCTGCGACTCCTACACACACACACACACACACACACACACAGAAGCAGATCGGTGAATCCTGCTGTACCTCCTCCTCCGCGTCCGTCCACGCGACAAATGAACATCGGCGCTCAAAGCCTTCGACTGTGCTTTGAAGTGGCTTTAACAGGCCGCCAGGCGTCTTTAGCACAGACGCATTATAGCACATTAATCAGAGCTCCTGCACACTTTCTACCTGAAATGAGCATTTTGAAGGCGCGTCCTCCGTAATGAGATCGGTAATCATGAAAGTGTATGCATTTATATTTTTTGTAAGCTTTTCATTTTTCTTCCATCCTCAGAGAGATTTATGCAAAAAGACATAAATATCAAAGACATATTAAACCTATACTGGGTTTGAAGGTACCTACAAATACAGAAACGTTACACGCGCATCACAGATTGCAGCAGAAAAAAAAAACATTATTTATTTTCCAGTTGATTCACCTTATCCAGTGCAGTCCTCTCCAGTTGCTCCTTGGCTACAGTTAACTTGTGCTCCAGGTCCATCAGCTGCTGCCCCTGTTAGAGACTCGGTTAGTTATTGGCACACAAAGCGTGCCCCCCCCTCAGTAACACAGACACACAAAGCACTCAACTACATGTACATTGAATGCCTGAAGCACTCGCTGAATCCCTTCTGCCTTTAATGGGGAGGCTGCAGGAGACGTTCGTGGTTTGAAGTGAGCACTAGAATGTCACATAATAATTATGGTCTATTTTCCCTGAAAAGTGGAGTCTCCGGAATAAAAGGAAAATGTTAACAGTTAAAAGCTCGAACTCCTTTAGACGGAAGAAAAGTTCCTGCAGGGAAAACTGCATTTAGCAACGGAAAAAACCATCAAAATGTACAGTTTTAATTCATTTTTTTACTGAAAGACGCTTATCAACATACGTGGGGGGGGGGGACAAGGCTACTGGCAGGCTTTTTATTTACGGAGTATAGTGAACTACAATGATCTTAGTCCATTAATAATGATGTATAATCACATTATAAACCGACTCATGTGGCTCCTCGGACTCATTTCATGTAGATTTCTACAAGTGGTCTTATTATTGACCAACACAAAAGCCTCTTCCAGCAGAGAGGACGCACACGTTTCCCCCGGGAGATGAGTCATGCGGTGACGGTCAAGGACGAGGCAAACATTCACACAGTGGGATTTGACAGTAGCACGAAAAAAAAAAATCTAATCTTTCTCTCAGATCTCTTGTTTTTTCTCATATTCAGAGACCTCGGGACAATCACACAGCCGTTTGCGGCTGTTGGGCTGTGAGGGAATCCAAAGGTAATGCAGGTTTGAGGAGCAGTACTTCAATCCAACACAGGGGACTGCACATCTCATTGTGGCTAATGGCCAACGAAAGGCACGAGTATTCACTGATACACGTTTGGATTATTTTCAGCAAAATGGAATCTTGGAGGTTACTTGGGGAAAAAAGAAAGTGCCATTTCAGTTCCATTTCGACTTAGAACATATCGTCGAGGTTTTTGCCATTACAGTACTGGCAGTTGACAGACTGTACTCATTTCCAGGCGCCATCAGCATCCGCAGGAGACGGCTTCCTCGTAACCACGGCGTAAAGGCATCGGCCTCATTAGCGGCGCCTCACAGTAAATGCGCCTGCTGTTAAGAACCAACCCTCCCACCGAGGTGAGGAGGGAGGCGAGGGGAATGGGAGACGGGCCTTTCCAGTGAATTTACGGTCGGTGACGTATTTTACGTACTATGGTGACGTGGTTTTCCTTTGACTAAATGTACTAGTTCTAAGTCGACCCATTTTCAGCAAAGACACCGATGTGGAATATGCCCTGAGGTAGAATGTAAGATCGGTCCCGTGCCGTTAAAGTGGGTTTTCTGTCATAATTTGATTTGTTTAAATGAACAAAGCACCAGAGACAATATTCACAAAAATCTCTTTAAATCTACAACAAAACATCTAGCGGAAATCATGTGTGAGAACTGGCCGGCCAGGAAGAGGACAGAAGCCCGTAGTGATGAAGTTTGATGAGGGAAGTATTTGGCCTCCTGTGTGTGAAAATGCTTACTGATACAAAATGCCGATGCGACGCCCCCCCCCGGTCTCACACTACATTCTACTCCATCTGCACCGAGTGTGTAATGAGGAGCCGGTTGTGTTTATAGTGCAGTGTTTTGCGAGCCTGCCGCATACGGACAGTAAGGAGCCGCCGAGCTGGCGGCCGAGTGTGACACGTCGGGAGGGAGGATGGATCGCTTGTGGAGTGATAAAAAAACAAAATAAAAAGGAGTCCACGCTGGCCTCACGAGCAGCGGGAGAAAAGCTCCTCTGAGGGATGAGTTCAGGAGCTGCTGTTTGCGTGTGCACGCATGCAGAGGTGCAGCATTACGCCGGCGTGCCATGACCCTCCATTACACAGAGCAGCATCAGCAGATAGCGCCGCGAGATCCGCGGGCGCACGGCCGCTGAAGTGGAAGTGCTGACTTTCAGGGTTAGTGCCTCCGAGTCCAACTCTCTTTGTGCGCTGAATCTATTATGGAGGTTTTGGGGGCCAGCGGGGCGAGAGCCACTCTTGACAGACAAAGGCACGCATCTGCGTCGAGCCATCGTCTTTCTTTTCTGTCTTTCTTTTTTAAGCTGGGAGGAGAAAACGGGCTTCGTGGGAGTGAATTTTCAAAAAAATGTACCTGCAGGAGTGGAGATGTGGGTGTAGGGGCTGGAAGACGGCGGCCAACAATTCTGTCTCTTGGGGAAAACGTGGCAGAAGGAGCCGGCCAAGAGAGAGTGAAGTGAGCGGTCACTCACTTTGGATCCAACTTGAGTTGCGTCTCGTTATCGCTCGTCTTTAAAAATCTGAGGATTATCCACAGCAATCCACTGAACAAGCCACCTTCCTCTTCCTGGTACTACAGGTGTGTCTTCATCCTTATCTTGTGAATCCCAAAGCAACTTCGAAATATTTACTTTGGACGTGGAACATCCGTCCCCGGGTTTGTTTGACCCTCCTGCAGCCTATGTCCTGAGCGTCTTCTCATGCCTGCAGGGTTTACGTTGTCTTTTTGAAAGGCCGTCGCGTGGGCCGCTTGAGAGGAGCGACGAAGCCTCGGCGAACATTATTGCTCCTCGTCAAGACGGCGTCATCTTCTCGGCCATTTGTGGAAAATAACAGGTTCGGGTCATTTCTGAACATCTGAATCGTTCTCAGGGTAGAAATAATTTGTTTCTTTGATGTTTTTCTTTACTTGGTCTTGTGAGATGGTTTCCTCCCATGTGAACCGTGATGGCTCGCTCCCAAATGCGGTTTGATGTGGTGCAACGGCCGTCGCAACCAATTCCGCGCGGTCAAGGTGCCTTAACTGACATCCCCCCCCTGTGAAGCTGATGACATTTCCCAATGTCCCATCGTCCCCCTCCGGGATTCTGATCCACAGCATATGTGGAATATGGAAGACCAGCAGGGGGGGGGGTCACAGATACATGATTCATTTCCCTCTGACCTTCTCACCAGGAAAGAAAAGCAGGCTGTCACCCCCCCAAAGATGGCTGGTTTTGAGAGAAAGAGTGAGAAGAAATGAGCCTAATCCATCCAAACCATCAAATCACCACGGAACATAATGTTCTGGAGGTCCACGGGGGTCTGTCCGACCTTCAGCGACACGGTTGCGTTGTGTGGGGCACTGACGCAATTTACAGACAGCGATTTACGAGCGGTGACACCAAGCGAAAGAGTCAACGCATCCATCCTTCGCGCGATGGAAACAGAACAAGTAGCGGGACGCCCAGGGACAATTTATTCAGGCGTTGGGCTCCAAGCGTGAAATTCTGAGCCCCTTTTATTCATTTATGTCTGACAGAACTCGAGGAAAACGATGGCTCTGAAGACAAAAAAGCATTCGTTTAAGGAATGACGTGGTTCTAGGCGGAAATGTCGACCGATACATTAACGCGGCAAACAAGGCCCCGAAAGGTCATTCCATGTTCCAGTAAATGCCAATAAATAATTCCTCGTCGCAATTCCACTCGCAGTGGTCTGTGTGTGTGTGTGTGTGTGTGAGGGGAGACACTTTTCTCAGTAATGTGGGACTCGTGAAATGTGACCGCTGAAAGACGCTCGCAATATTCACAGGAACAACAAAGTCTCACCACCAAATGAAAAAAAATACCGTTGCTTTGTCAGTGCTGAATGGCGTCCGATAAAGACAAAGACCCAACTGACTCCAGAAGAAGAAACTAGAACTAGAAGCTAAGGGTGTGGGTTTATTGTGAAGAAGGGAGGGAACCAGCATTCGGATTGGACTAAAACGATCCGCAGGGTAACAAACACAGCGGCAGTAACATGTAACCTCACCGCAGGTCTCTTCATACGCTTAAACACCAAACTACACGGTGCTCGCTGGTATGGAGCTACCCGCGAGACCTCCTTGCTTTTGAATATTCTTATAGGCCTTAGTGTGAGGAAATGGGGAAGGTGGCGGCGTGTGGACTTAGCGCTCGCCGGGTTGGCTTTCCGCGCTGCTGACAGGGGGGGACTTTTGTAATTGCAGAGTGAATTAATTGGAGTAGCTCCGGTGATGGGATCGTCCTTTTCCGAGGTAGTCTGAAGTACCCATTTACCCCTGGTCTGTAAAGCCGGCCCGCCTTCAGTTTGAACTCACCTTAAAAATCAAATCCTTCTTCCCGTACCGCAGTTCTTTCAGTTGAGCCTGGATTTTTTTCGACTGCAAGGGAAAGATAAGGAAATGAGTGTTAGCTCATTCAAATAGCAAAATTGGTTTGAGATCACGTAGCAGGATTCTGCCAGCTGCAGCTTTTGTGAGTGTTCCCCCCCCCGGGCAGAGCGCTGGTTTTAAAGGAAGAAAATATCAAATCCTCCGTTCACTGAACTGTATAGTCCACACAATGATGCAGTGATGCACTGGCTTCTGGCCCACTGTCCGGACCTGCATTCCCACTCCCACTACTCCCACACACCAGCGCACACAGGATAACAGAGCTGATCCCCAAAAACAGACACGGCGACCGGCTGCGCCTGACCGCCGCTCGGCCCTCGGGACGCAGAGGACGCCTCCTCGGTGATGCACAGCCGTCCTCAAAGTGGCTCGTGATGTGAGCGCACCCATTCTGACTGCAGCAGATCAGGGGGGGCGCTGTGCGCTGTGAGGATGCAGCGCCGTAACTGTGGTTACTCGGTATGCAAATGAAATTGCCCCCCGAATCCATTTGAATCTCAGGACATTTTGAGCTCCAAAGGGAAATATCGATCCTCTGAGCTTCATATGTGAATCGTTATTGGGGTTCATTGGAGCTCAAGTAAAAAACCTATTTTCATTTTTTCTCTCTTTCAGTATATTTATCTTGGTTGAGGGAAGATTCCACCGGTTTTGTGTTCATTTTGCGCATCGAAAAACATTTACGGTGGTTTAGTGGAAAAATGTATTGATGGAAAACGAAATGTGAAATGGGAATCAGCGGTGTCTTCCCCTCCGTGCCTTCTTCTCTGCGCGGTGTGATTGAATACGGCAACAACCGCTGACAACGCCCGTGGCGTCCTTCTCAGGTCAACGCTCTGCACTGTTGCCGCTATTGGCGCTGTTGGCAACGTCAGCAGCAAACCGCCACGTGGAGGAGAAGCCTGAAGAATATTCCTTAATCACAGATTTCGGCATGAGCTCTCTAATTCATTCAATGATGAATGAATCATAAACGAAAAGAAATGGGGTTTCCTGGAATGTCAGTAAAAGTTTGCACTACATTTTGTAAGGAAACACGACTCATATCTTCTTTTTTCTGGCCACCATCCCTCCGTATTATCTCCGTCTTATCTGTCTTTCTATTGATCTGCTTTATATCTCTTCCTTTCCATCCCACTGTCTGTCTCTATAAACCTCACACCCTCCCTCCCGTCTATCTTTATACTTTCTTCACACGGGTAGTAAAAACTTGACATACGGTCTGATCTTTCACTAAAGCACACGGAGCACAACCCTGAAGGACAAATTCACTTCAAAGGGCTCCTGCACTTGACAAGGACCTGTACCTTTACTTATTGTAGGAGTCTTTATCTTGTTATTCCTCTTCCCGGGGTACTTCCACGTCCCCAGACGCCCATCTCCTGTCATGCGTAGCTGGATTCAAAAATTGCATCCCGGGGCTTCTCATAAAACAAATTGTGGTTAAATAAAAAGCTAACTTTAAAAGCGGCAGTTTGCAGAAGGCGAGCCACATGTCGGATAAGTTTCTCTGTGGCCCGCGTCGTAAAACAGAAAGCTAACAAATGAACTTCATTTGTACCAGTTAAGTGGCGCCTTTTTAAGATACTCCAAGGGAATGGAATGAATCTTAAAGGGCTACAGCATCACGCGCTGCGGCGTGTTGACTGCTAAATGCAAATAGCCAGATCTGTAAACGCGCTGCGCTGTCAGACCTTCTGAAGTGTTGCTGTGTTGTTATTAATTAGGAGTAGAATCTCCTCGGCACAAGCGCATCCCAGAAGCATCTCGGCCCTTTGTTGTTCCTGCTGGTTGGAATCCTGCAGCGGCGGGACGCGCATTCCAAGTGGTTAAGAGCAAAACAAAACGCAGTCAAAATATGACACTGGTGTTTTGGCTGTGAGTCGTCGTCCTTGTGAGAATGTTGAAGTGACTTCTAGATTCATGCAGTCCGTCCCGAGGACAGAAGCGTCCAAGGGTGTGCAGCGGAAGCAATTGGTCTTCTGAGATATAATATACCAGGCGTGATGGTTTTTGGATTTATTCGCTCCTGCTTTGTGTCACTCAGTGTTGTGCTGCCATATCGTCGTTTTACGTTCCTTAGCTTATCTTTCGTCCATCTTAGGGACAAACAGCTGAACATGTTGGCGACCAGAAGACTGTTTTAACATTAGCATTCGATTGCGATCATGTTGGTGACCTGTCGGATGAATTCTTCGCTTAGCGTCGGTCTCTTTAGCGCCGAAATGCAGCACTGATTACGACTGTCTCTCAGATGAGCAAAAAAGCAACCTCACATGGAAATGTCCCTGAGTGGATTTGTTTTAGTTTATCAGTCCAATTATGCGTTTTGTATACCGAGCGTCCAACAGACCGGCCTGTTGGCAGAACAGGCACTCACGGCGTGTGAGAGCATCTTGAATTGGAAACATGGACACGATCAAATTAAAAATGTTACACATGTATGATGCGCTTGTCCTCTGAAACTTCAGTGCTGAAGTTTCGTGGGATATGGTTGAACCTTTTGGCTGAAACAACCACTGAATGGATCGTTTAGCACTTCCGTTATGCCATTTTAGATGAACGTAATCGTACACAGATGAAACCAGTTCACGTGTTATTGAAGCACCGTGAGCTGCGGGTTAACGTGTTACCCGCCGTGACTCTTGAGCCGTCTGACATGCATTTAGAGCTAAAGTAGCCCGACGTGTTTGGCGGCCAGCAGGCTGGAGAGCACCGGACCAGCTGAGCTTCCTCTCCGACGGACGTGGCGCGCTGGTTTTTCAGAAGGATCGGTGAGGCGGTCAAAGAGCCGGCCGGCTGAGTCGGGACCACCGGCTGCGAGCCACTGAGTCCCGGACTGAACTTCAGCTTGACACTACAATTTCCCCCCGTGACCTGTTCCCATTCGTGCAGTCGTGTTTGAACAAGGAAAATAACGCTATTGTTTTTGTCAAACGAAATTTTGCACGGACAAGTGCTTCCATCCGGCCTACTGTGAAATCTCTCTGGATCTACAAAAAGGAACCATTCTTAATCATTTGAAATCATTTTACTGAATTGTCTTTAATGAAGCAGAGGCAGATGGAATAATGAAGGCATGTCCACACTGCTCCGTATGCCCAAAGGATTAAATTAGTTTGAACCAAAGGACCGGATGACTCCGAAACTGCACAGCGTCAGTGGGACTAATGAGGTCAAATAATAACCAGAATTAGTATTATAAAGCAGCACAATAATAACCAAATACTCTAAACATGGATTGTGAAAGTTAATGCGTTAATCAATGCGAATAATGAGCCCGAGATTAATGCAATAAAATATTTAAATGCAGTTAACGCAGCTTTGTTGTCCCCGGAAACGAAACCTCAGTCAGTTAGATCTGAAGGGCGGAGGTGGTTGAAGATGGAGAGAGCTTTTCACATTGGAAGTAAAACAGACAGACGAACTGTGCAGAGGAATTCCTGCCAGGCTAAGCTAGCTGCTAGGCTACATCTCAACACCCTGCAGAGGACCACCACTGTGGCCCGAAAAGGCCGTGGTTTGAAAACGTCGTGGCCAAATGTCTGCACATCATTGGCACTTCGACCACAGCCGTCAAATGATGGAGAGTTGAGAGAAAACTCCACGAGAACAGCAGGAACCAGGTGGAATTCTGCCTGCGAGATGATCTAATTGTGTAGTTTTGTGCTCAAAAAATACAATTTATTAACTATGTTTAAAATGAGCTTTTCTACAGTGATTACCTGTTAATTTATAGGATTCAGTCTCTACTTATTTACAAACTTACTTTCAAATGTTATCAATTGCGATTAAAGAATTTCAAAATGTGCAATTAATTAGTACACTTTTAATGCTACTGACAGCCCTAATATGTATTTCTTTTGTGTAGTTACCACACAACACGGATTAAGACCACAACGCTTAAACCTCAAGCTCACACAGCACGATAACAAACAATTACTCCACCAAATCAAATGCATTTCCAATATTTAACACAGGAATTTCCAAAGCCAATTTGCACAAAATGGGAACGCAAATCACAACTGAAGAAAAGTGTTTGTTTGCGCATACAAAGTCTTGAAATGCATTATGAAGAAAAAAAACAGCTTAAGTTTAGAAGGTTTATCCAAGGTCAGCTTCAACAATAAAGAGGAAGTTGAAATTTTAAAAAATGTTGTTAAGGCTTAATCTTGGTTCAACAGTGAACAGTAGATCAATAACAAACACTCTTCCTGAGTATTTCCATACAGATGGAGGAGATACTGTAATCTAAACCTCATGAACAAAACGAATGTCTAAGTGAGCAGCGCTCACTTCTTCATCATTAGACAAACTTGCAATGGAACGAAGTTGTTTGTAATTACCTGCACAGGCGCGATTGCTTTGCAGCTTTCGTATCCGTCTCATGTCAGTGTGATTACAGGTCCACTCTTTAAGCACACCTTTTTAACCATAAATAACAGTCCATGTAAGAATGCTCCTCTTTATGATTTACTTTCATTCAGAGTCTACCGAGGGAATTGAATTCAGTGACCTCCGGAGATGTACCTGTGTTCAAGGAAATCCTATTTCTTCCCTCAAAGGAACTCAAAGTCTCCTCGCCTCGATAACAGCGCTGCAGAGATAATCAGTCAGAGAAAGAACCACCAGACAAGCACACATACTGCGCGTGTCACACGATCATCTTCAAGCACAAAGCCAACAGTTTTATCACTAGTTGGATCCCATTTGCTCCCGTTGCTTCCCTTTGTCGTCGCCAGGAATATTCTGGCGCTGTAAGCCGACACCATCAATCAGGACGCTTCATGGCCGTAACTAACTTTTTTCAATATAATCAGGCCTCGCTGCACAGTCAGATTGCCATCACCCGCTCGGAGTTTGTATATGAGATGATGACTTGGAGGAGATAATGTTGAGATGTCAATGTGGAGGATTTGCAGAGGGGGAAAGAAGCCCGTCATTTTCAACAGAAACGTCTTGTGTCTCAAAAGGGACTAAAGAATGACATCAGTGCTCGAGCAGACTTCAGGGTCGATGAAGCGCTCTTCAACATGAAAAGCTCTCAAGCACAAAACTGTCTGTGTGGAACTTTTGGCTCCGGCATGTAATTTTAGTCCATCGTTCCCGATGCCGATGATGCAGGACCGGTAGCATTATGGAAAAGGGTCGACCGTTCGCCAGCCCGGACGATCATTATTGGACGAGAGCGCTTATGATTACCAGATTTGTTGCACGACCAACAGCCATTTTCGATGGGTGGAGTCACGTTGCCCGTTGATGTCTTGCTTCTTTTCAACTGGGAGTGAAACCAAAAGAGTGCAGCTAAATATGACCCAACTCAATATAATATATTTTAGGCAACCAAATAGGTTATAATTAAGTTTTCATGACGGGAAAACCTATTACGGTTAAAGTACAAGCACAAGACCAGATATGTCAATACGCCTCGGGCCTTTCATCGCGGCGCCTTGAAAGATCACGCGTGGCCGAATTACAGCGTGGGCGCCCGTCAGAAAGACGGCAAAATCAGCAGTTCAAAGCCCAGCTCCAGGCTTCAATGGGGACGTGAACATGGTGGACACCGGTGACTGTAACAGGCGGCAGCAGAGCCCAAATAGGAAGAGGATAAAAGTGTGTGACAGCATATGTGCCACAGACTGAAGGTATTCCAAGCTGCCTTCACTGCAGCCCGAGTTCCTGACATCGTTCTGTACAGCGATCAAAGTGCTCACCGTTAAGAGACGAGTTGTCCTGAGATTCACTGCACAGCCAAAACCAAGCACTTTGTAAGGTAGTGTGTGTGTGTGAGAGCGACAGGATTAACAGTTAAATAAATTGAATCTAGGATGAAGAAAACATTTGCTTTGTTTGAGTTAAGCGGTAGAATTTTGTTAACTTTCTCAAAAGAGAGCTAAATTAATCAGCAATATTTATCACAGCATACTCCTATTCAATGAACAATAAAATAGCTGCAGCTGAGAAGCAATTATTAGGGTTGTCAACATTAATCGCATTAATCGATGCGAATAATGTGGCCGAGATTGATGCGTTAAAATATTTTAACGCAGTTAACGCGACTTGTTTACTTCTGGTCTTCTGCCGTGCCGGAAACAACCCCCCCCCCCCCCCCCCCTAGCTGCAGTCAGTTAGATCGGCAGGAGCTGAAGATGGAGAGCGGCATACAGAACTGTGCAGGGGAACTCCATCGCGTACCACCAACGGACCACTTAGAGCACCGCTATGCTAAGCTAGCTGCTAGGCTAAGCTAGCCAACATCTACCCTGCACACAGCCTGCAGAGGACCACCACTGTGTCCCCAGTTGGACAGTGTCCTGGCTAAATGTGGGGAGCAAAGTGCACGAGGACAACAGGAAGAGTCGCTAGTTCAACGTGTTCCACCCGCTGGAATTCTGCCTCCAAGACGACGTGTGCAGTTTAGTGTTTAAAATAACACTAACAATTAAACAACAGAGTCTAAAATACTCTCCATCTAAAGTAATACTGATTACTTGGAAGATTTATTTTTAAGATGAAAAGCAAACATTTAACGTGATTAATCATTTTCAAAATGTTCGATTTAATTAGTCAATTATTTTTTATCGAAAGCTCTCGTAATTATGTATGCAATTAATCAAAATGTACTGAAACCCTTACCTCTTCAGCATAGGCGTCACAAAGTTTGTGTCCCGAAAGCAGTTTTGTTTTCAAGCTCTTGTTCTGAAAAAGAGAATAGAAAGAGGTTTTAGACGCCATCAGACTGCCCTTTTTTTTCTACCCTCCATGTTCCATTTATACTTTCGATGCTTTATAACAAAGTCGTATTTATCCAGCAGGCTTCTGTTGCCGCGGCAACGCACCACGCCGTTGAGCGTCTCTGAGAGAGAAAAAACTGACTGAGGAGCTGAGCGAGCAGTCCGGCTCACAGGCAACCAAAAGGTCACCATTGTATTCTGAGGTCACGACCCCCCCACGGCCAGTGGACAGATGCCAACGTGGGGGCCAAGCGTTCTTGTTGTTTTGGTGCCAACTGTATATTTGCTGTATATAATTATTTATAATACCCCAAGAGTTCAAAGAGACACCGTAGAGTGGAATACAGGACAATACCACAACCCCTGGGTTTGTGAAGTGCTGAGTTGCTGAGAAAATCACAACACCTCCCGGACCCAACGCTGCTTATTATGTGTAGGTGGGCATAGGGCCACACAGACGGGGCCCGACAAACAAGACAAATAAATAAACAGCAACAGAAGTAAAGGAATAAGTCTACGGCTGCTTAAACATTACACGTTTATTTGAAATGGTTTTATTTGGCACATGAATTCTTGGGTCATGGCGGTAATGGAGGTCACAGTGACCTTTTGACCACCACGTACTTGTCAGTTCAACCTCGAGTCGCAGTGGACGTTTGTGCCAAATTTGATGAAATTCTCTAAAGACCGACGTGAGTTTTTTGTGTTGAAGTTTGGGACGGACATTGAATTAACAGTGACGTTGACCTTTGACCATCAAAATGAATCAGTTCATCCTTGAGTGCAGAATACAGGCGGACGCTTGAATCCAGGTGATCCAAGTTCAAGAGAACGGACGGGCCGACGGACGGACGCCGCTTGCCTCGTGGAGGTCATATTGATGTCGACGCAGGAAATTGCCAGCCTTCGAAATCTGCACTAATCTGATTACCAGATAATATATAAAAGAAAAAACACCCATTAATAACAATTTTCCCAATTTCAGATTCTACTTGGATTGAAATATCTGTAGTGCAGTTTTGGTGTTAGACGCCACAATTCCCAAATACTTCTGTCTGAATTAAGTTTCAGTGTTATATAACCAAAAGTAAGCCAGCCAATGACACGGCCAAGTGGGAGGATGTAATGACCAAAGAGAATGGGACTCCAGGGTGATTACAGCATTTGAAGGGAAGGCTTTTCCCTTTTTAATTGACAATAATCTGTTCACAGAATAAACCCCAAGCGCCCATCCAGATCTCCAGATGACGCAAAGATGACAAAAGGCTTCACGCGGGTCTGAAAGACAGTGTTAACCACTGTGAAAAGGAAAACTACTTGGTAAAAACACAAGCGTGCGGTGGAGAGAACACATGTATAGGTAATCTCCTCTGGTATTTTATTGGCCTACATATATGGCGTTATATTTGTGCCACAATCCTGAGCGCGTAATTTTAAGTTTTGAGCACAGAGAACTATATTTTAGCAAAGAAAAACATTTTCCGTGCGCGCAGTTTACTGAGGTGCCCTCTCCACAAACTGGTTTTCTGCGCGCAGGCAGCCGTTGCTGCGCTCTCTCTCCACCTCTTCACGCTGCCCTCGCTCGACTTGCAGCAGCGTTACATTTGTGCCACAAAACCAACCAATCAGAGAATTAAAGAAGGTCCATTGTGATTGGCTGTTGGTCTCCAATCACAACGCTAGTAGAACTACCTACAGCATCGCGGAAGCTCAGCGAGTTGTTGAAGTTTGGAGCATTTGTGCTAAATGCTAATGGCCTGGATTAAAACACTTGCTGTTCTCATCATTTGCTTCGGTCATGTCTGATGGTGGCTAGCCGGACTTCCAATATCACGTTTTTTCGTCTTCTTTAGGAAGCGTTGTGATTGGAGACCAATCACAATTGACCTTCTTTAATTCTCTGATTGGTTGGTTTTGTGGCACAAACGTAACGCTGCTGCAAGTCGAGCGAGGGCAGCGTGAAGAGGTGGAGAGAGAGCGCAGCAACGGCTGCTTGCGCACGGAATATGTTTTTCTTTGCTAAAATATAGTTCTCTGCGCTCAAAACTTAAAATTACCCGCTCAGGATTGTGGCACAAATATAACACCATATACATACCGTACATCATTTCACTGGCGTGTGCTGAAGCAGGTCTTAGGCTTGCAGCATCTTTGAATTGCTACTTAGAGAAGTCCTGTGTGGATACTTCAACCCCAAAATGATCGTTTGTATGTCCAATTGATGAATTGAAATAAATGGTAATACAAGATATACGCCGACAACACTGTTGTGTAACTAAGCTCGCTGCACCTCGGCTTTATCTGAAGAAACCAATGCGGCCTCGTCATAGCGAGCTGCGGGCATCTATTAACGCTTTTCATTGACTCAACAACACACTTAAAACTCTTAATGAGTTTATCAATGAGCCAAAGTGGAGGGTCTATTCTTCAAACACATCCTGCGGAACTTAAGTGGGAGCCACGGATATTCATTCACCCACTTTAGTTCACGGGGAAAGAAAGTCAATGACCAAAACGAAGCACGGCCCGGCCCTCCTCGCTCCACCGCACGCTGCATGCGACGATGCAGCAACACGGCTTCTTTTTCACACTCGTTCTGCATGTGAACGGATTAGAGGGCGTGTGGGCTTATAGACTGGGATCAAACCGACTTTGAAACGGCGCGGCGGTGCGTGCCAGGAGGGTGGTCCCGAGCATCGACCAAGACTGTGGTGTAACTGGGCTCCACAGAGGCAGTAATCTCCCGACTGCACGACGAATGGGCCGGAAAGCCTCCTGACAATGGGCGCCGTGTGGGAGGCGGCCCATGTCAGACCTACATGGGAGATGACCGGTGGTTCGGGGCTTAAACATCCCCGAATGACTGTGGGTTTAACAGAAGAAAAGCACGTTAGAACTGGAAGGACGCTGCACAGTGCCGCTCGCCGCCCGGGCCGCGTCCGCAGAGACCACGGCTGTTCTGATTGAATGTGTACAACACGAGTCGCCATCTCCCCGTCTGCGCCGTAATGCCTCGTAGATCCCGGTGCATCCAAACTGAAAAACACGCAGGGATGTATCCGGCTATTCATACGGTCTCGCCAAAATAAAAATGAAGCTCAACGCGCTGTCTGCCAGCACAGCGCAGCAGCAGCAGCAGCAGCAGCTGTGGATGACTGGCAGCGGCCTGCGTTCCGGGTCCTGTTCGCCTTTAGCCGAACACACTGTTGGAAATAATGAAAGCGTGCAATCAGTCTCCCCCCCCCTCCCACCCTCCTCCCGCCGTGTCTCTGGCTGCAGAGCGACGCGAGCCGTTCAGATGGGTGTGCGCTGGTGGTTCTGTTAGCTGTAAGCTAAACACACTGTGCGACAATATCAGAAGGGAGCGAGCTGCCGGCCGTCGACCCCCGTCCACGAGGGAGGGGTTCAGTGGACGTTCAGCAGCAGATTAAAACACATTCTGCGAGTCCTTCAGCATGCAGCCATTACCGCTCGCCAACAGATTGCGGGATCGGCTGTGTGACACAAACGCACGCAACCCGCGCAACGTATGCACAATGCGCTATACCAACGAATGCCAACGGGGTCCGCCTCCTTTTTAATTATTTATATACATTTTATTTTTAATTGCACCCGGTTTGGCAAGTCTGCGTTTTTGCCCAGTCGGTGGTTTTCTTGCTCCAGAGAAAGCGAGGAGGCTTCGGTTTGCCACCTCCAACATAGCAACAGGCCTTTTAGAAAATAGGACAATATATTACGGCTAATTATGTATTATCGGTGGTGTTCTACCCGCCTAGATGAAATGACGATACATCTGTCTATGATGCGGCTGTGCTGGTGATGGATCTGCCGCTCGATGTTGGAGACAGCTGAACGTTATTAGGTGAAGACTTGGCTGTGAGCGACGGGCACAGTTGGGATGCAGGGCGGCAGTGAGCATCCACCAGCTGGCCCCTCGACAGGTCCTCGTCCACGACGTGGCCACCTGCGCAGCCCTCCCCTCCGTGTCGCCGAGCGTTCTGATGGCATCCACGATGGTGCAGAACAAGGCTGCATCTGCATCGCAAATAATCAGTGGGCTTTACTTTTGGTTCCGGACTGAAATATCTCAAGTGTTCTAGGAATGTGACATTGGGGGGGGGGGGATCAGTTTTACGGACGTACGGCATCCCCTGACTTGGGTTGCGGCTGACATTCATCTCCGGCCCTGTGGACTCCTGTGATCTGGCACCAAAAGGCTACATTCAGTTCTACGTCAGTTCCTCACATACGGCGCATTCTTGGCACTTCGATCAGCTCCTCACTCCCACAGGCATGTGCAGGGCGCCGCGTGTCCTCAGGCGCACACGAGCAGAGCTAATGAGCAGAGGTTCCTTCAGTTCCTCACCTACTCCCCCCCCCCCGCCCGCCCCCCCACAGACCACCGCACCAGGACATGTTGGAACGGGCAGCTGTCACGAAATGCCACGTGGTCCGGCCCCCCGGGAAACGCTCACGAGAGAGAACGAGATGCCCGGCTGCCGCCGCGTCGCAGCGCATTGTGTAAATCCCGATTCTCTGAGCCCCTGTGCGTCGTTTGGTATTATTCCCGCTGCGCCGTCACTCTGCCGGCCTGGAAATAGAGGAACATTATTATTATTTATTTTTTACATTTACATATTGCTCATATTTAGTGTTTAGACAAGTATTAAAGTCAGTCGGCCGCGGGGGCTTTTATCGCTGATCCACGACCGCTGCGGAGTCCCAACTACAAATCACCCGACTGGAGCGCCGGCCGGCGGCGCCTCTGCCAAGGAGGTCATTGGTTCTGTGGGGTTCGTTTGTCTTTTCCTCAGCAGAAACGATGAAACGACGTCACCTGTCGGAAGGACACATCAGGTGGAGGGTGCGGCAGCCAATCACAGGACGGACGCTCACATTGTTTTCTCCCTTACGGAAACCTGTGCGCTCTGTGGACGCTGGTCCACTTGTGTGATTTCAGAAGCA